AGATTGAGTAGATTCAAGTTAGGGAATCTAGTACAAAGTGACCGACTACTTATACTAAGTGGAAAGGGTTAAGGGCAAGGCTACCGTACTGTAGGTAAGGGCAAAGGGGAAACGAAAAGGGTATAGGTACACTGGTAGCAGAGCCTGATTAGTGATGTGAGGTCGAATGCAGAATGAGACCGAGAAAAGTTGGAACGAGCCAACGGTAAATGATACAATGCGCAGCACGCATGAGTCAGAGGAAAGATAAGACAAGATAAGGAAAGCCACATTGGTGGCACGAGTCAGAACGAGTCATAGCCCGAAGGCACATGCGCACATTGGTGCGATAGGAGGGGGATGAGGGACGGGAACGGTCCCGAGGATCCGGTCAACGGATAGTCGGTAGAGAAGTACGAGCTGGAGGCATACGAGGGCGAGGACGAAGGGGAAAAATGATAGGGGGGCCATGTAGCCGATGTTACTTGTAACATCACCCTTAACATCACCCTCATGAGCCTCTAAGCGTCAGGATTGCCTTCATTACAGCATGTGCCACTGTGTTGGTCAATTGTTCCGATGTAATCGCTTCTTTCGTATGCTAAACCAAAGTAAGTAGTATGATACGTTTAAGGATTGTGATTGGTTGTAAATTTCCTACTCGCCTCGCTGCAGACCATCCAGACCCTCTACACCGAACCTCATGGTGGCACCTCACCCTCTCAAGCCATCATCTGCGAGCCTCTGTTACAGTATAGCAAGTGCGACCCTCTGTTACAGCATAACTTAGTGCGTTCCGATTTCAAATGTCCGCTGGTAATATTCTGACTTTAGTATAGCATGTATCTCAATGGAATCATTCCATGCATGCAGGAATTTAAACTCCTTGCGATGAACTCAAAATGTGCGCTCTTAAGATCGAGGTAAGTACTGTTTCCCCCCCTTCACCTTCTTCAAAATTTGACCATCTCTGAAGGCTAGATTGTACACATCTGCTCTGACGACATCACTCACCTCTGAAAAAACCCTCCAATCATCAGTAGCTTCACAAATACAGTTCCTTCAGACCAATGTAAGTGTTTACAGTGTTTATCTTTGACACCATACTGAAATGCGTCCAGTGTCTACTGTTTTTGTTTTTTATCTGCATTGATTCTTCTATGTACTATCTGCTCTCGATTAATTTTTTTTTGTGGTACGTTGCTCTCTTGGTTGTTCAGTTTTTTTGGCTAACACACACTCGCTCAGCATTCTTTCCCTTGTCTGCTCTCGATTTTCGCTGTCAAATATTAACAATACTCATCTTTGTACGTTCACAACCTCGCAGTGCAACTGACAATCTCTGACCATCCCACAGTTATGACTCATACATTTGGTGAATACCCATAACCCCTCGAACCAGGAGCCCCACCCCCTCAAAGTTACAGCACCTCATCTCAGTCTATGCATCTTCCTCCTGGCGGAGATTATGTTCAGGAGCAGTATGGTGGCGGGCGTCGTCCCAAAACACCTCCGGTGGAGTTAACTCCTACCAGACTAAGGAGTAGAATCAAGGCTACACAGTGCGATGTCGGCATAGTCAAAGAGGCTGCCATCTGGCGTCAGGAAAACTCATTCCCACCCGATGCTCTAACCGTTCCCGCAGCACCAGCACCTGCACATCCTACATATGATAATAGTATCATGGGAGGTGACGTGTCATCCACTCAGGCTCTTCCTCAGGGAAATCGTCACGCATCACCATGTCTCCATGATCCCGACCCTCCCCATCCTGCACCTCTACAGGATATGTTTTACAATCCCATGGAGGCACAACCCAGCGGATGGTTGCCGCAGCACTCAAATTCCTTTGGACAGATGGATGATGCATCGTTCATGGCACTGCTCATGGAGACACAGGGACATTTTATGTCTTCCGATGCCGGCCCGAGTTTCACTAACCAGCCTTCCTCCTCGCATGCACCCTCTCATGAGCCTCCAGTGCCTCAGAGTGCTGAAGGAAGTTCTCGTCAGATCGCACCTATGACTACAAATGTCATCCCACCAACACCACTGAAGGATGTTGGCAGCAGTTACAGCCTTTCTGACCCTCCTCGTTATCCCTCCCCACATGAACGTGGTGCTTCCATCGATGCCGGAAACGTCAACGACCTTTTCTCTGATCCTCAGGGCAGCAAAGACGCACCTTCCTCAATGTCAGACCAGTCATTTGTCCCTGGACAGAAGTCTGCCAACACCAATGCGATCCTCGAAGCTGCTTTCGTCGAAATTGAGCAATCGTTCCTTGAGCTCTCAGGGTCGACATCAATTCCAGTGCAGCAAGTCATCAACTGGTTCTTGAAAAGTCGAGGTCAGACGACAGTCAGCACTAACTTCTGGAACATATATGCTCGCAGTTACTTCAAGGATCACACAGAGCAAGAACTTGCACGGGTTGGGCATAAGGTTCCTGCAGACAGAGGCTCTCTGGGTAAGTTCTGATCATATTTGTTGATGTCGTACTTACAGTTCCATTGTGGATGTTAGGTATGTCGATTCGGACAAAATGTTACGACCTCTTCAAAGAGGCCTTTCCAGACACATACAAAGACATTCTCTCTGTCCACAATGAAGTGAAAATGCTATCCGCTTCCCCTCAAACTGTCTCTCAGCGCGCACAAGAGTTTCAAAAATACTACCGAAGGATGTTTAGTATTGTAAGTATACTTCCTTGATGCCTCACTGCTTGCTGTGCCCTGACCGTCTTTGTTATAGGCTGATAGCGCTGCTGCTAAATTCAGTTTTGAGACCGCAATGGTCATCTGTGGTAAAATTGTCAATCAAGACGCCTCCCTTGGTCAAGTTCATACTACACCAGGCGCTGCAGAGGTAAGTATCTTGAGAGTGGTATTCAATACTGAGATCACTCATTCTGGTCTGCTAGTTCTGGAGTACACGATGCTGAGCTGATGATGACACTATCATTGGTCACCTCAAAGCTCATGTCTAGTAAGTCTCGATCTGCGTCTTACAATCTCTTTCTGATTCATCTTCAAAACAGCAATAAAACCTCAATGGCAGTAGTTGAAAATGCCTTCGACGACTTGCCTGAAGATGACGAAGAAGCCTCTTCTCGGGATGCTGACTCAATTCCTTCCACCGAAGTCGAGGGTCGCAATGAATCTCTCCGGTGGCCCAAGAAAGAAATCGCAAAACAAATCAGTAAGTAGCTATTTGAATTGTTCTTCAGTTCAGCCTGACATGCTCATATAGCTAAACTTGGTGGGAAGTTTGCATCCGACAAGAATTTCCCCTGGAAAACGATGCCCAGCACCTTAGCCTCTGGCGGCCTGAACATAGAAGGGTATCCCGCCCACATGTGTCTCATGCTGGGTGAATCCCATGATCCGACATCGAAGAATAACAAGGGGATAGGTGTATTGACGTTCAAAGAGGTTGCAGCGCTTGTTGATGCTTACAAGGCTGGCACCATGCGTGTGGTCAAGTCTTCCAATACGCACAGTAAGTTTTGTCTCTATTGAATAGTCTAATTTTAACCAATTTCCGTAGCATCGTTGATTGAATCAATGGAGCCGGTCATCATCGGAGAGGCTCCTCCATCCACCTGGGAGCACGCATCTGCTCGTCGCATGTTTGCTGATCGCCACACAGATTATGGTGGCCCAGGACATGTGGGGACAAGTGTCGCACAGACCAAAGTCAAGAAGGGCAAGAATGTATCAAGAGCTCATGATCCTGAGCATGGAGAGGCAGTCATGTCTCGCCCCCCTGCTTGTCCCTTTAAGGTTGTCACCAAGCCCATTTCTAAGCCCCAAACTCCTCCTCCCGCTCGTCCCTTCCGGGTTGTCGCTAGGCCAGCTGCACCAATGGCTCCCAAGGCTGCTGCGCAGGAGGTCATTGAACTCACTTCAACCTCGGAGGGCTCAAGGGATGTGACAGCAGAGGTGGACACTGAATATGAAGATGATTCACGCGGGAAGAAACGGAAACTAAAGTCAGGAAGTTCTTCTCGGATGTCCAAGAAGCGTGTATCTGCAGAGGTTGTCATTGAACCGACGAAGGAAGGTGTGCGTTCCAAGGCAAAACCATCAGCATCCGATGCCCCTGTATTGAAAGGGGGTCCGCTGTCACCATTAACTGTGGGGTTGTCTTCTGTTGATGAGCACTCGTCTGGCGATGAAGGTTTGTGCTACATACGTCATTTGTCTTTACTCGCTAACCATCTTATTCAGCTGCCCAGCCAGTTCAACCTGCAGCTCGCATCCGGGATGGTCCTTCCAACGTACAGCCAAAATCCAAGGGTACATATATACATTTTGGGATCTACGTATTGTTGACTTGTTTGCTCCAGCACTCCCAAAACCAAAACGCATAACAAAGGCATCTTGGGCAGCCATGCGCCACACACACAAAATGATGTATGTCGATTCGGAAGAGGAGGACACTCCAGGTCAAAAGGATCCAGAGGCAACAGCAGATGCTGGAAAAGGTGCTGTCATGCTTGCAGACCCTCAGCCTGATGCCGCAGCTCAGCCAGCAAACACCACCCCAATTGAACCGCCAGCTACTATGGTCACCACACTTTCGCCACTGGAAGTCACGCCCAGCGTGGCTTCACAACATGAGGGCTCTGAGCAACCCCAACCCTCGAACAGTACACTCCAAACCATGTCTTCCCCTTCAACACCTGGCAATGACGAGAATGGAATCCCCAAAGCTCAATCCATTGAGCGTCCATCTTCGCATCCTGCTGGGGAGAGGCCCCTTCCACAACCTGAGCCACTTCACACTGATCCTCATATTGAGGTGGCCAACCACTATGCACATTCTCCATTGCTTCAACGCGATGCTCCCATCACACATGAGGCTCCTTTACACATGCACGAGCTCCCCAGACATCCTCGTGAGCCTTCTGTGCCTTTGCGAGAGCCTCTGCTTCATCCTCGTGCACCTTCTGTGCCATTGTGAGAGCTATGCTTTATCCTCGAGATCGAGAGCCTTCTGTGCCATTGCGAGAGCCTATGCTTCATCATCAAGAGCCCTCTGTGCCATTACGTGGGCCTCTGCTTCACCCTCGCGAGGCTTCTGTGCCATTGCGAGACCATCTGCATCATCCTCGGGAGGGACCCTCCTACCCACATGATGCTGCTCACTATCGTGAGGCGCACGACTCACTCTATGATCGGAACAGTACCACTCGCACACACCCCCATCCTACCAGTGGCCTCAATCCTCACGGCCTTCCACGCACCCATAATCTTGAAGAAGCTCAGTATGCTCGTGTACCTATGGGATACAACCATCCAAGTTATCCTTCTCGTTACAACTCACCTGCTGAAGGTTATGACGACCGCTATGATGACTGCAGGCATCCATCAGACCTCTACTATCAAGACATGCGTGGTCATGATGAAAGGTACTATGGAGATACCAATAGATGGGCAGACCGCTGCTGATACCTTTTTCCTTGTATTTGCTAACATTTTTCTCGTGCCCTTTAGTGTAGGCAGACTGCCGCTGATACCTTTCTCTCTCACCTTTTTAGTGTAGTGACTGTCATTTTGTTACCCCATGCTTCGCTGTCTCAAGTTGAATGTAGTGCCTCCTTCTGAATAAACTGGTTTGCTTTTGTTGGCACTTGCAAAACCTAATGGTCGACACCGACAATGCAAAGTCCAAACACGAATTCAAGAAGTTGTCAAAGAACATGGGTGACAAACTCAACAAAGAGAAGAGCCGGTATGTTTCCTTTCATTCCTCCTACAGCCTCTTAAACTAATCCCTCTCTATAGTACTATTGAATCTCTCGAGGGACCCGACTTCAAAAGAAACGCTTCAACTGACCTCATCCGTCAACCACTACCCATACCCCGCTAAGGAGAAGAGGCTTAAACGATGAATTGAATTTCAATGCTTGCGGTCCTTATTGTAAATTGGTTAATTTTGCCATACCATCGAAGGTGGGGTGTGAGTCAGAATACTTGAGTGCGGATGCCATAGTAAATTTTTTTTTTTTTAAAAATTAACAGATGAAAGAATGCATAATCAAAGGATCGAACTTAAGAGTCTGCCAAAATCACAACACCACTACCGCTTCACCACCATGCCTCTGACTATGCAGCGTGGCCATAATATATGAAGGTATTTGGCATTCCAATACTTCATCCAATGTCTTCTGTTGATTGTCAACGAGGCCATCAATCATCAATGCAATCGATTATCGATGGGGGGCCAGGGCACACATCTTCTCAATGTGTTATTGACGTCATTCCTCTACACTCCTCCCTCTTTCTATACATTCATTGAATTCATGGATTTCAGCCAGCTCGACTACATTCTCGAACACATGGCATCACGCTACAAGGTGGATGCGCAGGAGGTGTTGGACAAATGGTTGGAGAAGTGAGAGGTCCGTGATCCTGAGGCATGGAGGCTCCTCGAAGGTATACCTTGCATCGTTGGAGGGTTGACAGCGCTTCTCGGTAAGTGTCACAGTCAGATCGTATGTAGAACAGCTAAATATGTTACAGGGACCCTCGAAGGACGAGGGGGAAACTTCCCATGGAAGACCCTACCTACCGTTCTAGCCTGTCGTGGCTGTATCCTCGAAAAATACCCAGAAGACATCCTTATGCCCGGCGAGAGACGTTCAACCCTTGCAAAAAGCAAGGGTATACACGACCTTACTATCCATGAGCGCTTCAAACTTGCGGATGCCCTCAAGAATGATGCCCTCACCTGTAAATCTGTCGCAACAGACGCCCTCAAAAGTCTTACGGCCTCACGTGTCCCTGTCATTGTTGGAGAAGCGCCCATCGCAAAGTCTCTTCACACTCGTGGGCGACGAGGGTTTGCCAATGGATGGATTGATAGGTTTGGCCTGACCCATCTGGGCAACACTTCTCCTTCAAAATCTGGTGCCACGTCATCTAATCGGCGCAGACTCCATGTATTCGTAGAAGTCCCACTTGCACCACCCTCCTGGAGGTTGAAGGCAATTCAGCAATGTTCACCGGTCACTGAACCCAATCACAGCGACCTTGTCCCAGAGATCACCACCATCAAGGACGGCACTATTAATGATGACGATGCAGTCAGCAATGCCACTAGCAAGGACGAAGGAGACATCAATGAGCTTTTCAGTTCGCAGCTGCAGGAACAAACATGATCTGTGAGCCTCTCGAGCCTCCCTCTGATGTTCGCAAAATTAATGTGACCCTCAGGAGCCTCTATTCGACCCTCGCAAACCTCCATTGCATCCTCACGAGCCTCCCGTCACAGCATGTACTAATCCATTGATATGGCACAGTGTTTGTGCACGTGATCTTGTTGATTCAAGTGTGGCATCACATATTGCCTTCTATCTTACTTTGTCCCTTCACCATTGTCTGAAATGTCACGATCTTCCATCCTCCCACACGCTCGAGCACAATACAAGCCTGTCCGTGACTCGCGAATATCAGGACCGGCATAATCGGGGGATGACGAGTAGAGATGGCCTGATAGAGAGGGATAACGAGCATATTTTCTTCGTGGTTTGGATGTCTTATCGTGTCCCTTTCATGTTCATGTCTTCTTTGAGTTGTTAGTGTCTCTGTCCCTTTCACACCAAATATATTGTCTGTCGCACCATCATGATAGTATTGAGATTCACTGTGTTCGAAACATGTATTCTAAAACATATGAACTAACTATTTTAAACAGCGAGGGTGCCGCATGGCCTCGCGTGGTTTATACCTACCCTCGCGAACCTCTGGGAGTACGGAGGCAGTATACTAAGGAAAGGGCATGGACCTCTTGCGGCAATTACAGGGAGCCTCTATGGAGAGGCATACCTCACAGGTGGGTTTGCTGCAACATAGAAACCCCACCTGATAGATTGTGAGACGGGCGCTTAAGTGCTGCCAAGGGTGGTTGAGTTCACAATGGAATTTTGGGAGGAAGATGCAGAGATGACCTGCATTTTCAATGACTTCCTGAATGCATGACTTTTGTTGCTGAAAATCGGGCTGAAGCTTGAGAATGTGTTTGTTGCAACATCTTGTTGAATCGGGATTGCATTTCATACACTTCCCATGAAGCCCAGATTGATAGAGACCTCGTTTGACGAGGACGGTCTTGATACCTTTTGGCTGGTTTGGGAAGTGTGGATGATTTGCAGCAAATACCATCTCCTGATCAACCTGGACCCCCTGGTGTGTGAACCACCCATTCCACATGTAAGCCTGTTTCCCTCCTGGATTGACATTCATGCAAGACACAACCAATGCATCTTCAGCATATGCTGAATGTCCTTGTGAGTTATTGATCAGGAACAGTGCTTGATATCCAGGACCGTGCAGACATTCAAAAGTTAGAATGATTTTTTCTCGAAGCTGAATTATATTTTTAATCACACTGTACAGGAATATGAACAAATTACTTGTACCTGCTTCACAAACATCTCGCCATTCCAATATCCATCATGATTCTTGCCATACTCCAATGATTCACCTGCATCCACCATGTGTCCCACTGTAGAGCGGATCACATCACTTTGATAAATACCATGCCAACACCTTTCTTTCATAGCTTGTACTGGTCTTCAAAGACCCAATATTTATCTGTTGCACCATTTGACTGCACTGTCATCTCGTCATATGCACAGAGAACAAGACGATGTTCAACAAAATTGCAGCCTGGATTGTTGAGCTCCATTTCAACATCACCAACAACATAGCAGACAAGTTGATGTGTGTATTCCTTCATCTTTGGCAAGAAGTGTTCTTGACAATAACAAACAACATCAGGCCTGTTGTGACCATCAAAATAAAGTCCTTTTCAATGTGACATGTACCGAAAGCCTTCCCGATACAACCAACAGTGAGCAGTAGATAGTGAAATTCTGCAGCCAACTTTGAGGTGAATGTGTGGGAACATCTCTAACTCCATATACTGCTTCAAGCCAGAGGGCATCTCAACATTGACAATATTGCGAAGGTATTTTTCTGCTTCTGCAGGTATCCATGTGTTCTTTGAAAACTGCACAAGTTTTCCAGGATCGGCAGCCCACTTGTTTGAATGAATATATATACAAAGCTTGGCAGCTATGGTTGGATCTTCAAGCAATGAATACACCTTGGCATGTCAACCAGCCAATGATTGAGGAAGTTCCTGTTTTGACACCCAATCATGGGCCCAGCTGCACAGTTGACGTCCACCCCACACTGGTGCAAATCCATGACTTTCAGCTGCATGTTCTGATGCAACAATGGATGAGTGGCCTCTCTTTATAATGAGGACAAGATAGCTTTGGATAGTGCATGTCTGTTTTGCCTGTAAGCCACTTGGGCCACTAATGAATGTCGTCTTCTTCAACTTTAGCAGCTTTTCAATTGCCTCCAAGGCTGTGCATCTTTCATCTTCACGTCTTTCTTTATTGAGTTTGCGCTGCATGTGAAATGGGATATCCAGCTTTCAGTGTTTGAGTGGTGGAACAGCGGGCAAACATTTGTGTGTGCTTTGGCTACTTTTCGCAACCACACATTGATACCCCGAGTCAGGTGGCCAAGCATCTTCACCCAACTCGGAGTCAGAGTCATCTTTGCTGTTCAGGTCTGATTCATCTGAAAGGTAGCCAGCGAAATCAATGGCTATGGTGCCTGGTTGCAGCTGGAAGTTCTGAGTTGTGGTGTTGGAAGAACCTTCTGACTGAGCACCATCACTCATTCCACTCTGAGTCATGGCACTAGCTTTTGGTGCACACCACTGTCACATATGTAAATGTGACCTGTGGGTTATCTCTAATCAGGTATGTGTCAGATCATTGCTGTGGGCCAGTCGAAACTGATACATACGATGTCTTCATCTCTTTTCAGTGTTCAGCTCAATCTCAAGCCATCTTGTCCCTCCGGTGCTGTGTTTGACTGGAGAGGCCATTGTATCTGAGAGACTGGTTCTGCTCTGCTTTCATCCATACCATACTGGTCTTTGGCCATGACAACTTGTCAAAAAATGTCTCTGCTTGAAGTCCTTTCAAATTTTCTTCAAGATCATTCCCCTCCAGCTCACAGAGACTTTCATCATCAGACCATTCATTTCCTGAAGGTGAGTCAGATTCATGCTCATCATTCAGCTGATGGAAATCAATACCCCCAGTGTAACCACAGTCAGAGAGATTGTCAAAATCCAAGTCTATTGGACTGAATTCTGTGCTGAGCGCTTTGGGTATGCCTGCAGACTGCGCTGATGGTGGTGAAAGAGCTTGTACAGAGGAACATGCAGAAACCAGCGGCTTATTTTTCCATCGCGCTGCACATGCAGCTGCGAGCCATTTGTGATTTTTCACCATTATGAATAAGAAACAACTGACTTGGATTACTGTACCGAAAATCCATTTACAATTTTAAAACAAAGTACTAAAACAAATTAAGGACTCCCAGGAGTGGCATGGTAGTGGCATATCTGGATGTCAGCATCATCAGCACCCAATTTGGCCACTGCACCACAGTAGTGGTGGCTAAGTGGTGCACACCATAGAACGGGCCTCCAAGTGTATTTCAATGTCCAATGTGCCATCTGTTAGCCACTAGCTTTGCTGCCGTTCTTGCCGTAGTGCATGCCAGACTTTCTGCGCCAGAGGGGCAGTTTTAGCCTAGGATGTTCTCAAAGTAAATCATCCAAAATGGAAGACAAATTTGTTTATGTAAACATCCAATATACCGAATAAAGCCCACGTGACACGGGCATACCTCGCTCCCGGTCGTCTTGCCCCTTGGAGTCCGGGATGCGCCCAAGCAAAAGGACATATTGTGGCCCCACAGAATATTAATGGTAATTTTCCTCCCACACAAGAAGTGGCGGTGCATTTCAATCAGACGTCGCTGTGGATAAACTTACAAAGGCCCTTGACCCTTTGTCGAAATGCTGGCTGCAAGGAAAGCCGTAACTGTTTGGCTTTTTCTTGCCTTTGAACGAGTTTTGACTGCACAGACACCTCTGTTGAGCCATACATCTCCATCCTTTTACCCGGTCGAAAATGATCTTGGACAATGGGACCTTGATAAAGCGCCTGCAGTGAACGCGACAGGACATCTGGTGTTCGACACAGCCAATTCTCTGCTTCAACACTGGGCAAACACGCGTTATCGTATTGGTATCTGAAATTACTGAATGCCACGCAAATGTCACGACTCATCATTTACGTTCTGCAGGTCATACAATAGTCCCAGGGACTGTTCCCGTGGGCACTCTCCTCTACCATGGAGCCAGCGGTCCCCATATACCAACCGCTTTAGATTGGGTAGCTGTAGAACCAGATCACTCCCTAGTGTTCTGCAAAGGGTCAATAGAAACAGGGTGCTGGCACCTGACCCTTGCAGTCACTCAGCCGATGAAAGTGCTCTATTTTGACGGAAGCAGCGCTGCGAAGCTCCTCGAGGGCACCATGGACACTCAAGATCTCGTGGCATGGTCGAAAATGAAACCCGAGTGGGTGTGGAATGAAAAGCAGCGCATTAAGGATCTGTGTAAATGGGGTCAAAAGTATGGCCTGAACGGCTTTGTGAGGTTCGTTGGATTTTGAGATGTGTCAATGCCCTACGCTGATTTGCGAGTTATAGGATGGAAGTGAATTTGTGCGGACCCATACACAATTCCTTGAGGATATATTTTTAACGATGGTCATAGTGAGATCATGATCTGTGACTTTACCTCTCACATGGAGGTCGTTTCGTTCCTGAATATGGAGAGCATTCGCTACCGCAAGCGCTCGCCTACGGCTATGCCAGAGGACCCCACTACCAGTGAGCGACCATGACCATGTCCTGACGTAGGTCTGATTTGTTCTCGGACATTAGTGCATCATGTTTTTGCTATAATGCATTCTGCTTCATGGCGCGCAAATTATCCAGGAGAGACCCGAATTATCCTTGATTTTTCTGGGCTTGTCTCTTTCTACGACACCGCTCTTGTTCCCTCCTTAGTGCCGCGCCGTGTAGGCTTGGAGCGGTGGGATCATCGGGTGGAAGGAATATCATCGGAGGATATAGAACGCGTTCAAGACAGGCTAGCTCAAGCGTTAGTACGACCCCCCGTGACAACCAGCGGCATTGACTGGAAAACGGTCTTGCGGGTGGTAGTTGATCGATATGCCAGCCGCCTGGACTTTATGCAGTACCTTTTGAACATGACGCTGGACGACAAGTCGATCTTCGACCATGCACAACAAATTCAGAGACGATTGCGCACCGTGCTTTTGCCCTACACTTTGTTTTCAGCTCTACCTCCCAATACCTCCGTCACTGCTAACACGACAAATTTGTGGGCTGCGCCAATTTTTCGGGAGTGTGCTACATCGCACACGGCCTCCATAGTAGCTCGGGGGACGACATTGATGCCCTCTGAACGTTTGCTCATGCAGGCGGTGCAGGAAACTACGCATGAAATATGCCGCGTCGCCACGAAGATGTGGGCTTCTGGAATGATTATTGGGGTCGACCCCCTTTATCCTCCGGAACAACGCCCTGAAGCCGATCACATACATGCCCTCATGGGTGAATGGAAGGAGGATTTGACACGGTTAATCTCCTGCTTAGACTGGAGCGCGTGGGTGACGTGCCGACCGGCCTGTGATTTTGAGGTAATCAAGTCAAATTGTTTACGAAATGACTGACCTCGTCGTGTAGGAGATGTGCTACTTGCCTACTTGGCCCTATGGGTTTTTCCCGACTCCTGGCGAACCACATCAAGTCCCGAGGAACAGTGCTTCCTTATGGCCAGACCCAAACAAAGGGGAATGGAAGAGACCGCAACCAAAGTGCATCAGACGGCGGGAGCCATATAATTTTTAGGATATACAATTCACATGCATTATTACTGACATATACACGTCTTTTGTCATAGTCCTTGTAAAATCGTTGCAGTAGAGTTCAAGAGTGCTGCGCGCGACACATGTATTCTAACGAAGGATATGGTATTATCTAGCGCTGCATCCTCTCAGCCAAATACGTGACTCCTTGCGACCGGTGTTAGTTATTGATACGCACTGGAAGCTTGCGTATTTGAAGCAAACACGGATGAATTCAGAGTAGCGGATCGATTATATGGCTCGGGAACTACGATTCCTGGTTGCGAGCTTGACATTTTTACCTTGGCTCAGCTGTCAGGTCACCCGCCCACGTCGTCCCCCGACCTGCACCCTCGTGGTGTCATACTCCTCGCATCGGCCGGTAAATTCTGAGCACATTTGCAGAATCCTATTGTGCGAACAGCTCATATATCTGGAGCCTCAGATTCTACAATCGTACCTGCAATTTACCTACTTTGATGTACACCAAATGAATCTGAGCTCACCCCTTACGTCGCCGAAGTGGGCCAATTATCGAAACCAATGTCAATACCTAAATAGTATATGTCAGTGGAATCACCTTCGCAGCTATTACTAACACTCACCCCAGGGAGGCGTGATAAAACGGTTCTGCTTGCCACCCGCAGCAACACCGTCAAGAATTTTGATATCCTCTAGCGTCAACAAATCGTATGCCTCTAGTGCACCAGTCAAGTTAGATTCGATACGGGATGGCGACATTGATTTGGGAAGGACAACTATGTCCTTTTTCACTGCATCCAGATCCGTCAGCCACCACTCTCGCGCAGGGTGAATGTCAGGCATGAACGCACGCAAGTAGCCGAGAAGGACATCGGACGTGCTCTTGAGGTTACGCTTCTTTGCGATCTCTGTGGCAGACTCATCGGTCAACAGTGGAGCGCCGGTCGAACCAAGGGGAGAGTATGCTTGTGGAATAATTTTCTTCGACTTCAAGTAGTCCAACAGCTTCAGCTGCGGATTGTACAGATGAAGCTCAAGCTATAAAATTCAATGGTCAGTTTGGAACGGGCGTCGTTGCGTCGAACATGCCTGATTAACAGCCGGTATGATCTCTGCTGTCGGCAAAATCTTCTCAAGCATCATCTCGGAGAAGTTTGATGTGCCGATTGCCTTAACTTTACCTTTCTTTACCATGGCCTCCATAGCCTTCCATGTGTCCCTGATGTCCTGTGATTCATCGAGGTCAAAGTTTCCGTTGGGGAGTATCGGTACGAGTGGGTCACTCCCGTTCGGGTTCAGCGGAATAGGCCAGTGGATAAGGTAAACTAATAAATGAGACGGTTCATGTCAGTCAAAAAAGTCGAACTCGTACTTGGATAAATGCAGATCCTACGGTCAAGATACGTTGTTCCCAAGTTTGCGAGTGTCAGGTCGAGGCATTCCTCAACACGCCTATGGTATGTACCCCAAAGCTTACTGGTGATCTATAAATACCCAGGTGAACAGGCCAACGAATCCATGAAATATGTTATACGCACGAACACTTCCTCTCGCGGGACGCCCGATACACGCAGACCGTCACCGATTTCCTTCTCATTCCCATAATACCTTCCATGCAATGTGGTTATCAAATTTATTTTGCAATCAAAAAAATGCTTCCTACAAAGCGCAATCAATGTGCCTATAGCCCACCTTGAGCCCATGTTCCACAGCGCAAGTAATTTCACTGGTATTGGGTTCCGATTGCCATGTGCCTGGTTATTCAGTCCGACATCTCATCTTCAACCATGTTAAAGAGCTCACCGAGTCCGATAGCAGGGACAGTCTGCCCATTGTGGAGGGCGATGAGATGAGACAACATGGGTAACTAGAGACCTTGAGCTAACAACGGTACAAAATGGGATAGAAATGAGACGTGTTAGTAGGTGACACGAAGAGGGATAGGACTAGGACTAGAGACGAGGACTTTTGGAGGAGCTTTCTTGGAGCGGGGATCTCGCTGTAAGATTCGCTGTAGGTCACATGATATATATACGTTTTCAAATACTTGACTAGGCCGGAACGAGCGTGGTGAGCATATGGCAAGGTGAAATACTTCGGCGAGGTAAGCGTATCGTGAAGTTCGAGCACAAGGTGAGATAACGAAAAAGAGAGAAAGGATGTAAGGCTATGTTACCAACAGTATTTGATATTCAGCATTCGCTGTCATGTCACGTGATGCCAAAACTGTGGGATGTGTAACTATTTTAGTTTCAATGGTGGCCAGAGTTAGGGTGCGGTGAAAATTTATCCAGCCAGTTATTAACTCGAGTTTTAATAGGTTTAAACAAGTTGAATCAACGATCGCACTTGGCCCAGGCCGAGTCCACTGGTCTGTGCGTGCATTCGTCACATCTGACGTATACCTGTGACCAGGTCTCCTAAACATTGGTAGCACAGACTTCAAGATGCTAATCTTTCGTCTTCGCGGTCATCCAACGTTGAGCACCATCTGCTTGCGCACACTCTGCGCCATAATTTAAGCTAAATATTGAATCTCATTTACTTCAATTCCGTCGTAACCTCCATGTCAACCTCTCAGAATGTCTCATCTAACACTCTCACTGGACCCGGACAAGAAGGGTCTTCGGCTCAAACCAACCCTGCAAGATCATCTATATCCGAACAAGAGTTGGTGGAGAGGTGCCTCAACGTTGTCGAAAACTACAAGCATGCCCTCATTTCTAAACAAGAAGCTTTCGTCACAATCACCAAGGCTATTGCATCAGCATCAGACGAAGCCACGGACCAAGCGGAGTCTTTCATCGCGACTCCGTACTTCGAGATGCTCAAAGAATGGTCCAGAGATCTCAACTTGGCCAGAGGACAACGGGGACCAGATGTCATGCGACGGTCTGAAGACAGGGAGTCCTTCCCTCCTAGAGAGAATGAGTTTCAGCGAGAGCAAAGCTTTGAGCGAGGAGAACCTGCTCGAAAGCGATCCAAACTTGACCTCACCTGTCTCGGACGCGCTGAACAGTCATTTAGTGGAGGTCAACTCTCCACAAATCTTACGCGCACCAACGAAATCCTCCTCAACTGGTCTCAAGATCCCAAAGAAGTACGACATCGACTCATGTATCACCGCTGCTGCCCCGAATTCCATGAAGCTGGATGGGCAGAGATCGTTGCTGGAAAGAGTATCAACCTCGACGCAGTACACTCCATTATATCCTCCTTGCGTACCATTGACAAATGCACCGAAACTCTTGGAGACATTGAGATCAAATTCTCCGGAACTTCGGAAGTAACTTCAAAGAAGATCACGTCTGCTATGCAGTGGTCCGCAGCATGGAACAGAGCTGCTAGAGCCATCAAATTCGTGTTCCCTCATCGAGAGGATGAGCTTGCCGCCTACAGAGAATATATCAATGATAAGTTTGACCGCAGACTCCAGCGAACCCATGAGAGGATTATCAGATATGACAAAGCTGTCCGGAATAGAGCCGCAAATTCACGAAGAGTTGAACTTTCGGACTTCACAGCCTTTACCGACCTCTATGAATCCCACTTCCAGTCCGATGGTGTCCACTTTGACGAAGAAAAGCAGTCCTCTAAGCTCGGTGCACCTGCACGAGAGAAGTCTGCATTCAGCCGACGTGAGCCCTGCCGCAAGTGGAATTCAGGAGAATGTTCCCGCAGTGCTCAGTCGTGTCGGTACGCACATGTCTGTTCACATGAACAAGATGGGAGACTGTGTGCACGCCGGCACACAGAAACGAAGCATCACGACGAGTCTAAGTCTAAATCCACTTGAACCACCACTTAAACGTCCTCGTCATAGGTGGGGTTTGATCTGGTCGCCGACAGACATATCTTTCAGTCCCACTGCACGCTCAATGGAGTACGCAGAACCCATACCTATGCCACCATTGAATGAAGTTGAAGGAAGTGACGCCGCTCAGACTATTGCTACGAATCCTCATTTATTTCGCATTGTGACTCCCATAAACGTTGACCACTTTGAAACGCTCCTTTCAGATCATACAAACCAACCCTTCATCGAGTCTGTATGTCGCGCGTTACGTCTAGGGTTCTGGCCGTGGGCCAATACCTCAGATGATTCGTACCCTTCGATTAATGATAACTCCTCACATACATGCTCTAAAACCGACGATCAAAAACAATTCATCAAAGATCAAATTCGTGAAGAGATATGATTGGGCCGTGTTTCAGAAAGCTTTGGTACCAAACTTTACCCGGGGATGTATAGCGTCCCGATGCACACTGTGCCCAAGCCTCACTCGGATAAGCTTCGTCTGGTTGTTGATCACACAGTGGGTGATTATTCGCTGAACTCCATGATTGACCATGATGCAATTAAAGGTACCAAACTCGACGGATTGCACTCACTTGGAGCATCTTTACTTTGCTTTCGCGAACAACACCCTAACGTCGAGCTGGTGATGTTCAAATCTGACGTATCGCAAGCCTTTCATCGATTGCCTATGCATCCGCTATGGTAAGTCAAGCAGATCCTGACTGTGCACGGTCAGTGTCACATCGATCGTAACAATAACTTCGGGGGAAGAGGGTCTCCGAAGGTTTGGATTTCTTTCATGTCCCTGGTTGCTGTTACGCACTCAAATAGATCTGTTATGCGGAGCCCTAAGAGGGGCGTCGTCCGCTAACATTCGTGACGTAACCGGAAGGGTCCGGTGTAGCGACTGAGACTGGTGACGACGAGTCGGCAGATATCAGAGACGCGCGTGTCACGTGACTTCTAAGACGGATGTCTTCAAAGTCACTGACGTTCTCAAAGTAAGGACAGTCTTGTCCGAACGATGAGTTGTCGATCGAGGTAGACTTAGGCGCGATGAGCACCTAAGAAAAGATACTAGAGACTGAAGCTGAGGGGGCTTCAGAGGGAAGTATGTTTGAGGGAAGATTGAGTAGATTCAAGTTAGGGAATCTAGTACAGAGTGACCGACTACTTATACTAAGTGGAAAGGGTTAAGGGCAAGGCTACCGTACTGTAGGTAAGGGCAAAGGGGAAACGGAAAGGGTATAGGTACGCTGGTAGCAGAGCCTGATTAGTGATGTAAGGTCGAATGCGGAATGAGACCGAGAAATGTTGGAACGAGCCAACGGTAAATGATACAATGTGCAGCATGCACGAGTCAAAGGAAAGATAAGACAAGATAAGGAAAGCCACATTGGTGGCACGAGTCAGAACGAGTCATAGCCCGAAGGCACGTGCGCACGTTGGTGCGATAGGAGGGGGACGAGGGATGGAAACGGTCCCGAGGATCCGGTCAACGGATAGTCGGTAGAGAAGTACGAGCCGGAGGCATACGAGGGCGAGGACGAAGGGGAAAAATGATAGGGGGGCCATGTAGCCGATGTTACTTGTAACAGTTGCCTGGATCGCCATTCATTGCACTCTCATCGACGCCCTTAAAATGTATATGGACGACTCTTTCTCCTTTGAGATCGCCGGACGAACACTATACTATGCGCCATATGACTGCCACTTCCCCACAAAGCAAACTCACCTGTTGCAGCTCTGGGACGAACTCAATCTACCACATGAAAGGCCGAAACAACTGTTTGGATCTACTCTAACAGTGATAGGGTTTGACGTTGACCCAAATGCCATGTCGGTCACCCTACCAGCTGAGAAAAAGGCTGCGCTAGTCACAGAGTTGCGATGCTTCGCTCGCAAGAATCACTGTTGGTCGTTACGCGATTATCAACGCCTCGCAGGATGGTGTGAGTGGAGTTTCAATGTATTCCCTCTGCTGAAACCGGGCTTGTCGGTGCTCTACGACAAAATCCGAGGGAAGTCAAATGCACTTGCTATGATACACGTCAACAACGCACTACTACACGAGCTGCATTGGCTCGCAGACCATATTGAACGTGCAGATGGCCTACACCTGTTCAAAAGCTTGGACTTTAACCCTGGGAGTGATAATGTCGCAGTAATTTATACTGATGCATCAGGGGAGGGTTTAGGGCTGTGGTTTCCAGATGACCAGTTCGCGTGTCAATGCCCCCTACCAGCCGATGCTCCCTGCGATACCATATTCTTCTTCGAAGGACTCACTGTATGTTTGGCTATCCATTCAGTGGAGAACATGACAGAAGTTCTGGAGAAACTCCTAATCTACACTGACAACTCTAATACTGTGGCCATGTTTGACTCGCTACGGGCAAAACCTGGCTACAATTCATTGTTGCGCTCAGCGGTGGATGTCTTAATAACATATAGAGTGGACCTTCGTGTACAACACATTCCGGGACAACAAAACATCATTGCAGATGCCCTGTCCCGTTTTCATAACGAGCTAGTAATGGATCTCGTGCCGACAGCTTACATCTGCGATTTTGAACCCCCTCGGGATGCGCTGGGGGCGCCGAAAAAATGATGTCTAGAGAGACACAGTCCAAGCAGCCCGTACGGGAAGCTTGGACACTGGAGCAGTTGGAGCTGGAACGTTCACTGGCTCTCGGATTCGCAATTGAGTCCACAACCGCATCGGCATACGATTCACATCTGAATTCCTACCTTAACTTCTGTCAGCTTCATAATCGTGCAGTGGAACCTACCGAAGACACTCTCTCCTTCTTTGTCGTCTGGCTATCACATCACATTGAACCCCGCTCAGTAGATTCTTATCTATCAGGCATCGTTAATCGCCTAGAGACACACTTCCCACATGTGCGGGAAACACGCAAGTCTATTTTGGTGACATGGACGCTGAAAGGATGCAAACAACGTCTCTCAAAACCAATCCAACGCAAACAGCCACTTACTGTTGAAGACCTCGCACGTGTCATGGATGCTTTCAGCGCATCAGACGCATACAATGATGGCTTGTTCTTGGCCTTACTTGTCACCGGTTTCAAGACTCTGCAACATTTAGCAGAATTATGCTGGCCCAACACTAAGAAACATCAATCATATCGAAAGGTTCCTCTCCAGCACACTCTCATACTCACAGACACGTCCGCATCATACACTCTCCCTCGTCACAAAAGCAGCACATCAGGTGAAGGTTGCGAGATTTTGTTGTTGGAGGAACCACAGGAGCGCGTAGATGCTTTGAAGATATTTCGCCGGTATGTCTCTGCTTGCGATAAACTATTTATACACCACCCCCAGCTGTGGCTCACGGCCGCAGGAACCATTCCCACTCGGGCGTGGTTCATGCGCTACTTAAGGCGTTTTTTCCCATCTACAATCTCGGGGCACTCAATGTGTGCGGGTGGAGCCACAGCTCTTGCAGGGACTGGTGTTGCGCCTGCGCTGATTCAGGCAGCGGGATGCTGGTCCTCGGATGAATTCCAAAAATATATTCGGAAGCACCCATTCTTGCTTGACCTTCTCGTTCATAGTTCGCAACGTTCTTGACTCACCGAGATGGACAGCTCTTCTCTTTATCTTCTCTTTATCTTTTCATCTGACTCATGTCTGGTTTTCAAGTATGTGTTTCTGTGCGTTCGGATTGTTTCATTTCTATTAACCAAAAAAAAAAAAAAAAGAAATAGCCCTATAGTGCTTGGTCAGTCAAAACTTGACCTTCTTTCAGTCAAAGTCACTCCAGTGGCTTGTATATTAGCCTTTCCCTCGAGTGATAGCTACAAATTTGTACAATACATTGTACTTTCTCCTTCTTACAAGCTGTCACATCTCGGTGCTTAAATTGATCGTGGACCCTCCGAGCATTGAGCTGGAGGGCCCCGCTTGCCCTAAACTCATTCGAGCGCCCGTCACCAGTGCAAGTTGATTCCCAGTGAAAACCGGACAGTGCGGGAACATGTGAGAGCGTGCGAGAGTGTTACACATAGTGCCATATCATGTAGATCTGGTTGATAGCAAATGATGAGTATTTTCTTGTGAGCGCAGCGCATGCAAACACATGAACTTTGCACAAACCTTGCGTGAATTCTGCTTCCCTCGCACTTATTTTGCATTTGCATGAGTTCCGTAATATTTACATTTGCTATCTATATGCATGTCACTGCAGTGCGCGAAGTAACAAAACCTTTTCAAATCTAAAGTCCGTCTTCATGTCATCAACACCCCCGAGTCTCTTGTTCCCTTACCGTCGTGTTTCCCCATACAACAACACCGCAGGCAGCTAGTAATCCGCTCGAGTCCTAAACGTAAACACTTAAGTTTCTTCAATGGCAGCACCCTGACTCAGAGCATTTGCCTTAGTAAGTTCTGTCAACAATATTCAAGCCAATATATTATTGAATACTATGGGACTGGGTGCATATATGCGCAATTGCTGCTGTCTTTCTAGTACTCCTACGGGTCAGGCAACAATACAGGTGAGTCATTGTGATATCTGCAGCATCAGCTTGCTATTCTTGATACTGCCATTGATATATGTTCCCTCAGACCTCTTCGCAATCTTCTATTCTCCAGGCGAAGGTCCAGTGCCATTCATGTACTCCACAGAGGCATTCCCTCTCTATCCGTGATAACGGCATGTCCTTTGCTACTGCGACCACCTGGTTCTGGAACTTCATTCTCTCAATCACTTGGCCTTCGCTCGTCTTGGCCTTCAAACAACAAGGTGCCTTCAGCTGGTACGCAGCATGGTGCTGTCTTCTCTGGGCACTCATCTTGTTATTCGTGCACGAGACAAAAGGCAAGACCCTGGAGGAGCTCGACCAAGTTTTCACTGTCCCCCTTGGCATGCACGCTGCATATGGTCTGCGCCAGATACCCTACGGTATCAAGATATTCGTGTTGAGCACCGGGGGCGGCAAGAATGCGAAGAGTGTTTCATACCATTCCAATGCATTGTATTTGTATTTTGTACTATTAATAGTAGTGATAGCAACTTGAAGCAATATGATATGAACCGTTCTCGCATGATATAAACCATTTGTAAGGAATGCGAGGGAGTGCCACATCGTGCAGAAAGAACTTGAACGACTCTCGCACAACGACGCACGATATGGACTCCTTTTACATCGTGTATTCGTCCGAATTTCTTGTCGAGATTGTGCGAGGGCGGTTTCAGCTGGCGGTGCACGATGTGGCACGCTCTCGCATGTTCCCGCACTGTCCGGTTTTCACTGGGGTTGATTCATGGGTTATTAACCCAGGAGATGGCAGTTAATTATTAACTGACATTTTTTAACACATATTGACAGTTGGCATGTGATTTTTTCGTCCAAGCTAACTGGTTGAAAATGGGTGTTATTAACTATTCTTGATGAAAAAAATTCTGTGCACTGGGCAATTTCACTTCCAGACCCATTCGCCATCAGCATTGTCGGCGTCATCAATGCAAGCCACCATTTGCTCTCTCTTCTTACCTTTCAACACACTCCCTTGGGGTGGATCATCAGGGAGAATTTTTGCTGCTGCAGAACTCGGAATAAGGCCATCATGAACTGTTTCGGATGGAACTGAGGTGTCGAGAACTGAACCACTCATAGCTGTCAAATCTGTAAGGAGGTCTGCGATACAAGCAAAAAGTTAGATCAGTAGAATTGTGATTGACATTAGTGATGTTCAAGGCCCGGCTTCGGGCCGTGAGCCGGGCCTAGCTGGGCCCACTTAGGCCAAGCCCAGCTGGGCTTTGTAGACGGCCTATGAAGGCTTAGGGCCTGGCTCAAGTTGTGTCCAGGCCAGAGCCAGGCTTTCAGGCCACGGCTTTCAGGTACGTTTTCGTTCAGTTGGCTATGACCGTGAAACTGCAATAGTTTCAAAGCCTCAGCTGTCTAGGATAAACTAATTTGAGTTTTTGAATTTTCAACAGGTCACATCTGCATATGGTGCTGCGCGTCTATTCCAATGGCGAGGAACCACCTACTAGTACGGCACGCCCTAAACGTGTTGCTGTGCCATCAGCGAAGGTAATTTGTGCGGATAACGCTGCTGATCAAGAATTAGCTTCACACAGGCGAGCTCACAATGATGCAAGTCGTGCTGCCAATGCTCCCTCTGTCATTTCTGTGGCAATACCTCTGAATCCCCCAAGTACCGCATCTCCTACGAGTTCTCGTAGCCACAAAGTCACTGTCGTTGAGGTTGACGATAATGACAATGATATCGAGCTGACAGGCAGCACACACAAAAAGCGACTGACGAAAGGTGTGTTTATACTATTTTGTTGGATAAGTACTGACTAATGCCTACATCACTACAGGCAAAAAACGAGCTTATAGCCCTGATCCTCCCGAACACGCAAATGAGACTGAACACGATACAAGTCCATCAACTGGTGAGTTTTCCTACCGAACGAAACAGATACATAATACTGATATCTATTTGACATATGTAGTCAACGCACCGCATGCAACTAGTTCAGCAAACCACTCTGACGAAGTTGATGCTGACGGCTTCCTCAAGGATGTTCAAGTCATGAGCATTGACGAGGCCTCTGAAAACCCACGTCAAGAGCAGCGAAGTCGCGACATCACCAAGTTTTTTTCCGAGCCTTACACTGACAAAGGCAAGAAGCACCGGAATTGTCGACTGTGCAGGTAAATTTACATTTCTGTCTCATGCACATTGTACTGACTACGCTATAGCAAGAAAATGAAAAAACCCGTTGCTTTTGTCAATGAGGTGACGACTATGCGACGCCATATGGACGCTTCGCACAGGGTAAGTATTGCCAACCCGAGAAAACATGCCACTAACTGTTCATTATAGAATGAATATCTTACATGGGCCAAAGCTGAGAAATTTGTCTCGATGTTACCAAAGGACACCAAGCGCCGCAAGCTAGACGCTGCTGCTGACTCTCAAGCACGACTCGATGCCCACCTCCGTGAGCCGCAACCAAAGGAACAGATCATCCCATACTCAGATGCAATCTTCCGCGAGGCCGCCATTGAATGGCTGATTGAAACTGACCAGGTATGTTTTTTTAATTTAATTCTGGCAATTGGACACTTATCAGTTCACTGCAGCCTATTGATGCACTCAACCACAAGTCCTTCAAATATATGATTGATGTAGCAGCACGAGCTACCAACGGTGTCAAGCTACCTAGTCGATCAAAGACACGCCGAGCCATTATCGACCTCTTCAAGCGTAATCTCACCAACCTTCGCCGACGGTTACTTGTAAGTCATTTGTTGATTTTTTTGTCGTTATTTCTAACACGAACCACAACAAGAGCGACGCTGTCAAAGGATGGATCAATTTGACATGCGACGCCTGGCAAGCGTCGAATGTCGATGGCTATTTTGCCCTCACTGGTCACTGGATCGAAGAAAGAACTGTCGGTGTTTGGAGCGTTCAAAGTGCCCTTCTTGGCTTTACTCGACTGAACAACGCTCACAACGGTGTCCGTCTTGGTCAAGCGCTGTTCAAATTAGTTAAACGTGTTGGGATTGAACATAAGGTAAGTAAAATTCTAGCTTCATAACAGTGTGGCACTGATGAAGTTTCAGATTGGCTACATTACGTGCGACAACGCAGCCAACAACGATACCATGATGGAACATTTCGCCGTCCACATCGAGGCACACACCAAGAAGACATTCGATCATAAAAAACGGCGCCTTCGGTAAGAGTTTCTATGTCTTGTTTATTACTACCAATTCTCACATATATTCAGGTGCTTGGCCCACATTATCAACCTCGCAACTCAGGCGCTGTTGTCCACACACAGCAAGTCGAGGCACTACGATGCCACCCAACCTAACGACGATTTGCTTGCCCCCGCAACTCACTCCACACTTGAACGAGACGAGGTTGGATTAGTCCGGTCAATCTGTGTCAAGGTTTGCCGTCCGTCAAATGCACATATGTTTTGTTGACATTGTTCATTGTAGGAGCGCTCCTCAGCTCAACGAAAGGAACTTTTTCAGAGTGTCCAGCGTCGAGACGAAGATGGCCACACGCCAATCAAACATCCACGACAGCTGCTTCTTGACATGAAAGTAAGGTGGTCCTCAACATACACCATGCTTCAACGTGCATTCGAGCTGCGAGATGTAAGTTCAATTTAGGATGTCAATGTTGTTCCCGCTGATGTATATTATTAGGAAGTTGACTATTTTGTGGGCCGGCTCGGTTTGCAAGAGAAGGACTCAGCTAAACGGAAAAAGATTACGGACCTTGAGCTATCATCTGAAGAGTGGACCTGTGTTCAACGTCTGCTCTCAATCCTTGGTGTATGTATTTTTATCTTACAACTCGAGTCGCGGCTCACGTTGAAACTACAGTTTGCCGAGTTGTCGCAGCAGTCCTTCTCATCTGAACAAGGACCAATGCTTCACTTAGCATTGCCTGCATTGGAGTCGTTGCATAGCGCATGGTCTTCACGTTCTGGACGTATCAAGTATCTCGATTTTGCGGAGGGCCTCGATGCTGGTATTGAGAAGATTACGAAGTATTACGAGAAGTCGAGTAGTTCTGACGCCCATATTATGGCGATGCGTGCGTCGTTCTTTCATGTACATAGTATTACTCCCACTGACTTTCCAACGACAGTTCTCGATCCGTCACAAAAGGAGACCCATCTTCGCAAGTATTGGGGCGAGGAATTGCTTGTCGAAGCACACAGACATGCAGAGGAGATGGTAAGTAAAGCTCTCGTCACAACACACTCACTAATGGTACATCTAGTACAAAGAACGGTATCTCGAAATGTACAGCAACGATCCCAACTCTAGGAATGGTGTCGAAGTCAAGGTCAGGAAGACAGGGAATCGCAAACTCGATGCTCTGCTGCAAGAGCTCTCTGACGGCGAGGATGACAGTGACTCGATGCTGCAGCCCACCCTAATCTCTTGCGCGAGTTCCACAAATTCTGTCACTCCCTCCGAAGCTGCGAATGAGCCGTGGCGGCACGACTTTCACGCTTACCTCAACTCCAAGGACCACCTTGGAGATATGACTATTGTGCAGTGGTGGGGCATCAACGCACCTCGATACCCAGTCTGGGCGTCACTCGCGCGTGACTTCCTTTCCATTATGGCCACGTCCATGTCCAGTGAACGTGCATTCTCATCTGCTGGTATTACTATCTCCAAGCGCCGAAATCGTCTCAAACACGACATCGTCGAAGCACTGCAGTGCTTGAAATGCATGATCAAACATGATCTCCTGTTTCGCAAGGACCCATCTGTTGCAACCGAGTTCGTAGATGATGCATTGTCCGAAGATAAGACTCCTGCTGCTCTCAACGAAGATGATGGGTGGGATGATGTTGCTGAGGATTTATGTGAGAATGAGGAGCTGTTAGAATCAGATGACGAAGATGTTTCTATTCAAATGTTAGATGAAATTTGATTTACTTGCTACGTTTTTTGTATCACAAGGCCCTAGGCCCAAGCCGAGCCAAGCCCCAGCCGAGCCTGAGCCCTACCATAGGGCCTGGCCTTGGTTTGAAGCAAGCCCCAGCCCTCCAAGGCCGAGCCGTGGCCCCGGCTTTTGAGCCGAGCCGGGCCTTGAACATCACTAATTGACATATCTATTATCCCAATCACTCTCTTGTCCGACACTCTGAAAAAAGTTCCTGACATATTAGTATGATTCAGGTGCAACCCAATGGCTGGAATGACAGCGGACACAAATATGTCAGTATGAGATTCTACGAGCCTTTATCCACCCAACACGAGGCAAATCAGGACGAATTTGATATAACGGCATGGCTAGGATGCCATGGTAGGACATGGTACATTATTTACAGTTCTTGACCGGTGTCCCTCCAGCATTGAATTATTTACAGTTAATAACCCGGTTAATAACTCGGTTAATTAACCGCTGTTAAAAATTATTGAATTTTTCACCGCACCCTAGCCAGAGTCGTCTCTGTAATTTCTTGAAGGCGTTTGTTATCTTCATGCTGCCCTGTATTGCACAAAAACGGGTTTGTCCGCGCTGGTGGGCTCCTGGTTGTGTGGCATACAACATTACCTCCAAATTCAACTTCACGAATGATCACACTGACCCAAACTCCCATCCTTCTAATACCTGGTCGATTAAACCATCGACTAGTGCTGCCCTTCCTCTGCTCATAGATGCAAAATCTCTGTCCTGGAGATGCCGACTCTCCGAGGTGGCATGCAGCTGCTGCATGATATTTTGCCAAGCTCGAATTCGGGGGGCGTGAGTATGCCGGGCGTACCGAATTTTGGAGATGCAACTTCTCTG